TCCTAGTTTGCATATTTATGAGGCTGCTTTCTGTTGGAGAAGAAATGGTTTGAGGCTGCTTTTTATTTTTATTTTATTTTATTATTTTTTTTTTTTTTGAGACAGAGTTTCGCTCTTGTTATCCAGGCTGGAGTGCAATGGGACGATCTCGGCTCACCACAACCTCTGCCTCCTGGGTTCAGGCAATTCTCCTGCTTCAACCTCCTGAGTAGCTGGGATTACAGGCACGTGCCACCATGCCCAGCTAATTTTCTCTATTTTCAGTAGAGATGGGGTTTCACCATGTTGACCAGGATGGTCTCGATCTGTTGACCTCGTGATCCACCAGCCTCGGCCTTCCAAAGTGCTGGGATTACAGGCTTGAGCCCCCGCACCTGGCCTAGAAATAATTTCTTAGTAATTACTGTATTATATCTCCTGTCAGGAGACATAACCCTAACTGCTGTTAATGCGTGTTGGGTGAGAATTCTGACTACTACCTGCTGAAAGGGGACATCATGTCGGGGGACAGCAGTTGAGACTCCTGAGGTTGTTCTAAGAGTTCCTGAAAGAATGGCATGTTCGAGTGTGCCTCCCTTTGCATCACCATTTGGAGTCTGAGTGCTTCTGGGAAAAAAGAGTAAATTTTACAAGGTTTACAATATAGGGTTAGTATATGAGTATTAAGATTACCATTGTTAGTGGGGAGTACTGTAGACCTTAACTATGACAATGGAGTTTGACACCTGTTAGTTACCCCAATGAATTGTAATACTGGGTCGCCTCCGCTAGATGTCACTGTATATTACCAGAAATGTTAATATAAAAGTAACTTTTGCAGTCCTGTAGAGAATAATCCTCTGGAAATAGAAAAGCAACTTCCAGGAGATCCATCTGAGAAGCAAAAAAAAATTAAGTTACCTTCTCAGGGTCACGAAACTCTTGGCAGAAACTCACACCCTGTACCTTGATCCCTTGAGCCTATGTTCTTTCTTCTTCACCACCATTCCGCCTCAGTGGGCTGGGGAAGCCTGGGGTGACACCTGACAAAGATTTTCTCTTCAACCAAACTCTAGCCAGGCCCCTCTGAGCCTTCCTGAATGGGCCTGTCAACTGTGGCCTATTCAGACTTGAACAACACTAACAGTTTCTAATAACTTTTAAAGTGCCAGCCCAAAAAACTCAAGGCTGTCCAAAGAATTTCTTCCGGCCAACACCTGAAGATAAGGCCCATCTCCCAGCCTCTGTGGGAGGATAGGAGCCTAACTCAAAGTGCCAGTAGCGAACCCAGATGGACCAACCCCCTCCCTTCCTGTGCTTTGTAATTTTTCGCTTTTCTGACTCTACTGAACCCCTACTCACCACCACCCCCTCCCTATTTCCCCACCCTCCCTTTAACATATTCATTCACCTTTGTACATATCAAAGCTGAGTTAAGTTCATGCCAAATTCCTTTTCCCATTGCAATCCTTATCACCAATTAAACTCTGTTCTCACCACTGTCATTAATGTTCAGCTTTGTTCATCTTTGATACACGTAGTGAACTTTGCAAGGTGGGCAGGCCTCCCTCAGCAGGTGAGCGTGGTAATAAATGAGCTTTGTGGCACCCTCCAGGCAGAAAAAATGGCACGGCCCAAGGAAACGTTCTTTGTTCAAGGAGGCAAGAGGGGCTGTTTGGTTGCCAAGAGAAACCCCAGTTTTCTGAGATCAGTCCTAGGAGGGCAGTATTGTATGGCGTTTTACTGAATGTTCAAATGTAGCCTGTATCCTAAGATGTATGACTCTGAGAGACGTGCTAGAGCTGCCTGAGTCTCAGGTCACCAGCATAGTCACCATATGACTATGGCACTTACCTTACGGCAAGTGGGAATGTGATATAGCTAGGCTAGAGTTAGAACCCATACAATGCCATTTTATAAAGACAAAACTGTTTCCATTCTCAATGACTGCTAACCTTGGCTTCTGTAAACTGCTGGATTATTTGCAGGATGCAAAGTGAGGTAAAGCTGCATACCTTCTATTATCTGTAACTGCCAGAATTGCTGGCCTTTGTTTACCAGAGTAAGCACCCCCAGATAATTCCATCCTGGCACCAAGTAAATAAAAATCTATGGATCCCACCCCAGACGATGTGTAAACAAATGCTAATTTTAGCATCTGTGAACCCCTTGAATGACAATCAGAATGTCAAATAGTCCCCTGGCCCTCGAAATGTCCGGAACCCCCTCACCCTCATCCCCCCCCACCCTCATCCCCCCCCTCATCCCCCCCTTACCCTCATCCCCCCCCCCCCCCCCCCCCCCCCCCGCTCACCCTCATCCCCGCCCAGAAGGTGATTTGAATCCACTGGCCCTCGGAATGTCTAAAGCCCCTCAACCCCATCCTCTCTCCTCACCCCCAAGGTGATTTTACGGGTATAAAAAGTCTTGTCACCCTCTTTTACGGGGCCACGGGTTGGAGAGACGTGAGTCCTCCGTGGTCGCCAGCAATAAACCCGGCAATTTGGCATACTTTTGTTCTGGTGTTGACTTTCTATGCTCGGTTCGATATAACAGGAATATTACCAAAACCAGGAAAAACACAGCAGCAAACTTCCACACACAGGCACTTCGTTGCTTGTGTTATAAATCTTTTAATTCTCTCAACCACCTGGGAAGATGGCAATTATTTTTGTTTTGATGGAAAAATCAGGAAAGCAAGTGACTTCCCCAAGTTTATAGAGTAAGCGGAAGTCCCAATAGACTGAATTCACACTAGGAATTTGGGTCCACAACTGAGAACAGTTAATTGTTTGAAAGCAGCACACAGTGCAAACCCAAGGCTCAGTTGCTGCTGCTATTAACAGTATTGTATTATGATCATTATAATTTTTCCCTATTTATCTCTAATGCCAGAGTGCTTACACTCTGCACCTCTCGGGCCATACGGCCTTGTCATTGTCTTGCATCTTGCATAAATTACTTCTGCATATAAAGCTTTTTTTAACACAATTGCAATTTGTTTAAAAACTGATCCCCCCAACAGCAGCAAACAAATAAGCTCCCAGGAAGTGCTCAGTGATATGTGCCTTGGTTCTTTCTAGATGTTTACCAACAACTGAGCTCTAATCCCACCTGACTGGCCCAAGGCTAACAGGGAAACTGACTTACCAGGCATCAGTGACCTTCAAAGACAGGTTGTAACCTCCAATCAAGAAGAGGGCAGTGGCACCCAGCACAAGGACTCTGTACTGAGAGATGACACTAAAGACCTCTAGGCTTCTGGTGTCAGTGCCTAAGCCCCCCTTTCCTCCACGTGGAAGGCTGACACCTCCTTCACTCGGCCCCTTTTCCAACTCTGTAAAGCACCCTCCTTACTTCTTACAGACCTGCTGTGTTCCTGTCTCATCTCCTACCTGGTTTCTTTCTCCTCAGATTATTTTAGGCAAGAAACATTCACTCCCTCAAAATGGCTCAGATACTAAAGGATTTGTTGGAAGGAAACGGAAGTGTTTTGTAAGAACTCTCCCCAAAAAATGTGAAACAGTAAACAAATAGGAGCGACAAGTGATTAGATGTGAATCTGAGACTAGTGATGAAGCAACCATGAGAAGACGATGATGAGATGATGGAGTCAACAGCTTATACTTACTGAATGCTGTTGAGGCCAGGCATTGTTGTAAACACTTTGCATCAGTTAACTCACTTAATTTTCATAGTAATGTTGTGAAATAGGTTTGTTATTAACATTTTACAGATGAAGAAACTGAGGCATGACACAGTGAAACAGTTTGACCCAGGTCACACAAAGCCAGTATATATGCCACTTGGATTTAAACCCAGGTAACATGACTCCAAAGCTTAATGCTCTTCACACACACACACCTTGGCGCTCTGATAGGGTATGCAGTGTTTCCTTTCTACTAGGTCCACAGTGAATACTCAAGAAATGGTTAATAGGTATGACTGAGGAAATATGTCCATCTGTGACATCATTATTATATTCTGGACACCGTTAATGTCACCTAAGTGTGCTATAGCTGGAACCTGAGCAACACCATTTTATAAAAGACAAAAGCTGTTTTCCAAAAATAAGTTACCCCATTCTCCTCACAGTGACTGCTCACCTCGGCTTCTGTAAATAAAACTGCTGGTTTACTTTGCAGAATGTGAAGAGGTAAAGCTGCTCACCTTCTCTTATCAGTAACTGCCAGAGTTGCTAGCCTTTGCTTACCGGTAATAACCAAGATAGGCAGCCCAGGTTAATTCCATCCTGGCTCCTACGACTCGTAATAAGTAACTAAAGATCTGTGGATTCTAATACTGCCCAGACAATGTATAAACTAATGTTTATCTTGACTTCTGTAAACTACTTAAGTAACAATCGGAATGACAAAAGTCCCCTGGCCCTTGGAATGTCCAGAGTCCACCCCCCCACCACCCCCGCCTCAGCCCAGGTGATTTACAGAATCCACTAGCCCTTGAAATGACTGAAGCCTTTCATCCCCATCTCCGCTCCTCACCCCCACTCCCAAGGTGGTTTTACAGTTATAAAAAGGTCTTGTCACCCTTCTTTCTCTGCCACGGGTTGGAGAGACATGAGTCCTCCGTGGTCGCCGGCAATAAACCCTGCAATTTGGCATACTTTTGTCTTGGTGTTGACTTTCTATGCTCGGTCATATTTCTTATAAGAAAATATGAAAAATACAAATTTAAATCAACTTATACAGAAACTCTAGGATTGAGGCTTAGCAATCTGTGCTTTAACAGGCCCTCCCAGTGATTTTGACACATCACTAGAGCTCAGAACTATTGGATTCCTATATCCCATGCCTGTATAATACACATATGAGTGATGCTCAGTAGATTTTCTTGAAACATAGCTCGCTGAAAGTGCCCTCAGAATAATTCTCACCAAAATACTGCTATTCTTAGTACAAAGAGCAGGCCATTTTTCTCTAGGTTTGCTAGTCTCCCACTAAAGGCTAATCTTAGTGAAAAAAAAATTTTTTTTTTGGCCAGAAACAGTCATAGAGAAAGGGTACATGATAGACAAAATGATTTTATTAGATACCGAAACTTTGATTCACACCATTTTATTGCTTTTGCAGCTTTCATTTTTAACACTTACTGGCTCCTCTGGGGACTAAATGTCTTCACATGCCCACTAGCTAAAAAGAATTTCTAAGTAGAAGTCAAGTAAAACTGCAAACTACTGCTCTAAGAAATGCACACTTAATTATGCTTATTTGCTCTTTTATAGAATTCTGTTTAAAAATAGCACTGCAGAGATTTACATGTCATTCCTAAATCACCCAGGTCGTTCTACCATTCATGTGATGTCTGCAAGATAAACACTCTTAGTGAACACTTTGCTACATCTCTTAATGAGATTTCTCTCCAAGGATGCTCTTAAAACGGAAGACTTCCCTCAATTTCTAAATTTTCTACATTCACACAGCTTCTTTCCTGTGGGAGTTTGTAGAGATTCCTATTGCCTAGTCTTTCCTGTATTTGCTACATGTACATGGTTTTTTCCTAGTGTGAGTATGCTTATGTCAATTAAGGGATTAATACTGACAAACGCTGCCAGGCGCGGTGGCTCACGCCTATAATCCTAGCACTTTGGGAGGCTGAGGCAGGTGGATCATGAGGTCAAGAGATCGAGACCATCCCGTCTCTACTAAAAATACAAAAATTAGCTGGGCATGGTGGCGCATGCCTGTAGTCTCAGCTACTCAGGAGGCTGAGGCAGGAGAATTGCTTGAACCCAGGAGGCGGAGGTTACGGTGAGCTGAGATCGAGCCATTGCACTCCAGCCTGGGTAACAAGAACAAAACTCCATCTCAAAAAAAAAAAAATACTGACAAACGCTTTCCCACATTTATGATCTTCATATCATTGCCCTACAGTATAAACTCTGCTAAACAAAAGGGTCTGCATCATTGCTAAAAGACTTCCCATATTCACTACATTCATACAGCTTTTCCCCAGTATAAATTCTCCTGATGTTAAATAAGGGAGGATCTATGAATGAAATTTACCATGACAAATACTGCTTCATGTAGTTTCTCTTCTGTGAGATTTCTCACATGTATAGTGATTCACATGGTCTAAACGTTTTTCCCCACGCTTACCACACTACTGGGTTTCTCTCCATCATGTATTCGTTGATGGACGGTACAATTTGAGACTTTGCTAAAAGCTTTCCCACACTCACTACATTTATATGGCTTTTCTCCAGTATGAATTCTCTGATGGACAGTAAGGTTTGAACTGCAGCTGAAGGTTTTCCCACACTTAATACATTCGTAAGGTTTCTCTCCAGTATGAATTCTGTGATGTTGAAGCAGGGATGACCTGTGACTGAAGGCTTTCCCACATATACTGCATTCATGAGGTTTCAATCTAATGTGATTTCTCAAATGCATATTCAGTGATTCAAGCTGGTTAAAGGATTTCCTGCATTTCTGACATTCAAAGGGTTTTTCCTCAGTATGAATACTCTGATGCTGAACAAGAAATGAGAGGCTACTAAAGACTTTCAGACATTTGTTACATTCATATTTTTTCTTCATAGTGTGAATTTTTTGATGTTGAGTAAGGTGTGAGCTACAGCAGAAAGCTTTCCCACATTCACTACATTCATAAGGCTTCTCTCCGGTATGGCTTTTCTGATGGTGAATGAGAGATGAACTATGAATGAAAGCCTTTCCACATATACGACACTCATAGCGTTTTTCTTGTGTATGAATTCTTAAATGTTGAACGAGAAGGGAAACACGACTAAAAGACTTTCCACAGTTCGTACATTCATATGGTTTCTCTCCAGTGTGAGTGCTCTGATGGTTAGTAAGGGATGAGCCATGGCTAAAGGCCTTCCCACATTCAATACATTTGTAAGGTTTCTCTCCACTATGGCTTATCTGATGTCGTGTAAGGGATGAGCCATGGCTAAAAGTCCTCCCACATTCATGACATTCATAGGGCTTCTCTCCTGTATGAATTCTCCAGTGGCGACTGAGGACTGACTGTTTGCCAAAGGCTTTCCCACATTCACTGCATGCATAGATTTTCTCTCTATCACAAGTCTGGGAAAGGGTAAGAGATCTGCTCTGGTTGAAGGCTGCCCCACTTTCATTAGAATTCAAAAGTTTCTTTCCACCACTGATTTTCTCATTTTTTACAACTGACTTTTTTGGTAAATTCTTCTTTAATACATATTTGTGTGAATTCCCTTCAGCAGAACTTTTTTGTGGTTCAGAAAGGGTAGCCTTTGAAGAACAGGTGCTTCTAAATGTGTTGCATTCTATATATTCCAAATTCTTTGTAGAATTTGAAAATTCATAACCTTGTTTTACACTTTTTTGTATTATTACTGTTTGGGATGAATCTTCATCATAAAGATCCTTCTTTGATGATAATTCCTTGTTTGTCCATCTTGATTCCCAATCTGAAATATATCAAGAAAGCAAAGCACTGCTTTTTTTTTCTTTTACTTCTTGAAAAGAAACTTCTACAGTGGAATTAGGAGAACTGGATAAGAAATGAAGCCCCCAGAAAACACAAAGCTCTGACAACTCAAATATTTCAGTGACTTCTGAACAACGCTCAAATGGTGCAGAGAATGTAAAGTTCACCGAAGCAGGAACAGAGTGTGATAACAGAAATGTGTCAAATATAGGAAATGGATAAAATAATATCCAAAAAAAAGGAAACAATCAGAAATAAAACGTGGAAGGCATTCTGGATTCCAAGCCATCATTTTGTGCCTATATGGATGAATAAAGTCACTCAGACATAGATTTTCGGTGAAAGAGCGAGGAGGGACTTATACAAGGATGTGATGGTCCAGAATTATGAGAACCTGGCCTCTCTAGGTAAGGACATCACCCCTTCCACTCCCTTCCACCCCTTCAGAGTGGCAAAGGAAAGGTGTCCCAAAGGAGTTAATGACTGCCTTTCCAACTCACTGGCCTTGCAGGCTTTTATTTTGTGTAGATCAAAGGACAAGGGTCTTTAGGTAAACACCATTAGAGGGTAATTAACTTCTGCTGACCACCCCCCCAAAAGGTAGTTATGCATGCATGGATGATCAAAGGTTTACTAATGAAAGTGGGGGTAAACAGATTTATCTGGGGAAGCCTCTTTACAATTTCTAGTATTTATTCTGTGTTCTGATGCCCTGGGGTAAGAATCAATAGCCTTTGCCCATCCCCTTATTTGAAGCTTTGTAAACCCTCTGGCCTTTCAAGGGGATCTTGTGACTATTTTCTGTAACTATCTCTAATACTGTTCCCTTAGTATTTTTGCCACCACCCTGACTGAACTACCACACCTATATTCATGTGTGAAAGATTGCATTTTGTCCAATATCCTCTTTCTCCAACCTTCAGTTAATCTCAATTTGCTGCCAGATTATCATGCTTAAAATACAGAATTGATAGTACTACATTAAACAATTACAGTAAAAACAAAGTAATCTAAACGTTCTTTATAGCTGACAAAGATTTGGGTTTTCTGAGGAGCTGAAGAAACTGTGTGAATCACATTATTTATTGGATATGAGAAAATATTCTTCCTGGCTGGGCACAGTGGCTCATGCCTGTAATCCCAGCACTTTGGGAGGCCGAGGTGGGTAGATCACAAGGTCAGGTGTCCGAGACCAGCCACACCAACATGGTAAAACCCTGTCTCTATTAAAAATACAAAAAAGTAGCCAAGCATGGTGGCACATGCCTATAATCCCAGCTACTGAGGAGGCTGAGGTAGGAGAATTGCTTGAACCCGGGAGGCAGAGGTTGCAGTGAGCCAGGATCATGCCACTGCATTCCAGCCTGGGTGACAGAATGAGACTCCATCTCAGAAAGAAGAAAAAGAAAATATTATTCCTGGAAACACATTTTTATATGTTCCTTACTTCCTCTAATATGTTCATATTTCATCTACAAAGCTCAGCTTTACAAAAGTGATTTTCCACCTAAGTGACAGCTTTTCTTAGCATAAAACTATTAGAATGTTTTCTTTTAAGTAGATTTAAGACGGAATAGTTGCCTTACTTTGTCTGAATAGAGTAACAATTTGAATTATTATGATGGCAAAAACCTCTAACCTTGATTAGATGACATGAGTGGTACAGATAATAATTTGGGATAGAGGAACAACTGTTTGGAAAAGCTAAGCTAAATACCCCTCAGTTTTCATTTATATCGGAGATCTTTGAAGACAGTATCCCTAAAATGCCTCCACCCTCACTATAAGCATCTTTAACAAAAACTTCCCTTGTCTCGTTCACCATGACTCACCTGGAGTCACACCTTTGGACAGTTTTTCCTCCACCATCCAGGGCTCTTTTCCATCCTCCAATAGCGTGATCACATGTGGCTTAGTTATGGAAAGACCTGCTTACAGGAAGAACATAGAATTGCGTAAGCTGCGGTCGTCTATTATGAGAGGCCATCACAAGAGACCACAGGAAGGGATGAAGGGTGTTCACTGGCATGGAAAGATAAGCTTCAGGCCGGCACAACAGAGCTACACATTTCCTTGGAAACATGGTACAGAAATTCAGCCATTTACTTAGGAGGATCTCCAGCAATTCAGAGTGGCAAAGGAAAGGTGTCCCTTATTGGAGTGGAAGGGGTGATGTCCTTACCTAGAGAGGCCAGGTTCTCATAATTCTGGACCATCACATCTTTGTATAAGTCCCTCTGAGCAGAATCTAGCCATTCCCACTCTTCATGAGAGAAGTCTATAGCCACATCACTAAATGTCACCTGAAATAGCAAATATATTTGGATTCAACCATAGATCAGGCCTCTTCTGTCACTGTACATGGGGTAAAATTACCCTACTAATGGAAGAAATGGAACAAGATTCAGGAGTTGTGACAAGGATTGGGAATGTGACCTCACTTAAGTAATAATACAGTTATGTGCTTAGAATTATTAGACAATAAGAGACAAATATGAGAGCTTTGCTTCAGTAGAGTTAATTTTGTTAAGTTATAGAATTATATGAATTTTTGTTTTTTATTTTTGTTTTGAGACAGAGTTTCGCTGCTGTTACCCAGACTGGAGTGCATATGGCACGATCTCAGGTCACTGAAACCTCCGCCTCATGGGTTCAAGCAATTCTCCTGCCTCAGCCTCCCGAGTAGCTGGACTACAGGCGCGCACCACCATGCCCAGCTAATTTTTGTATTTTTAGTAGAGACGGGGTTTCATCTTGTTGACCAGGATGGTCTCGATCTCTTGACCTTGTTGTGATCCACCCGCCTCGGCCTCCCAAAGTGCTGGGATTATAGGCGTGAGCCACCGCGCCCAGCCAGAATAATATGAATTTTTAAAAATCAGAATTTAACATTTGACAGCACAGAGTCAAGTATATACTAATATCTTTAATAGCTTAAGTGCTAGGTAAGTAATTAAAACATTAGGCTAAAGTGATTGTCTCTCAGATGGGATACTAAGGATGATTCACTAAGGCTCACAGAAAATGGGTTCAGAAAAAATATATCTTTATATTAAAGACTGATAGACATAAACTGATATGGTTTGATTATGTCCCCCCAAAACAGCATGCATTGAACTTAATCCCTGTTCTAACAGTATTGAAAGGTGAGATCTTCAGGAGACATTTAGGCCTTGATGGCTCTGCCCTCATGAATGGATTAACCTCATGATCTGGGGAAAGGGTTCCTTATTTTAAAAATTGAGTTCAAGTCTCCTTTTGCCTCTCTCTCTTCTCTTTGCCCCTCCACCATGAAGGGACACAGCAAGAAGGCCCTTGCCAGATGCCTGCCCCTTGATCTTGGACTTCCCAGGCTCTAAAACCATGAGAAGTCAATTTATATTGTTTACAAACTACTCAGTCTGGGGTATTCTGTTAAAGCAGCACAAAAAGACTAAAACATACACATAACTGATTCATAAACAAAAAAGAAAAATATATTCATGGTGTATACTCAAACTTTGTACTGATAGACATTTAATAATTAAAATATGGGACTCCAGGGTGAAAGACTGAAGGATGGTTTCATGTCATAGATCAGGGGTCTCTAACCCCCAAGTCCCGGACTGGTACTGGGTCTAAGGTGTGTTAGGAACCTGGCCACACAGCAGGAGGTGAGTGGCAGGCAAGTGAGCATTACCACCTGAGCTCCACCTTCTGTCAGATCAGCTGTGCCATAGATTCTTACAGGAGCTGGGTCCCTACTGTGAACTGTGCATGCAAGGGATTGAGGTTACACGCTCTTTATGAGAATCTAATGCCTGAGGATCTGAGGTGGAACAGTGTCGTCCCCAAACCACTACTTCCACCACTTCCCACTTCTGTGGATTGTCTTCCATGAAACCGACCTCTGGTGTCAGAAAGGCTGGGGACTCCTACCAACCTTTAAGGACTGCCAACAGTCCTTAAATAGGACCTGGAAGTAAGGGGAAAAAAACAAAAGGGTACATTTCAGAGAAAATATTCTAAGGAAATGCTCACAGATGTGCTTAGAAATTCCTCTCAATAGTACTCTAATTTTACAGCATCACTTAAAATAGTAAAACTTTAGAAGCTTATTCAGTAAGAGCTTATTGAGTATGTGCAAAAAGACATTCATTTAATATAGCATTATTACTGCCTTTCATTTGTAAAACATACTGCTCTACTATGCTTACTTTTTAGCTCTCAGAGTGAATTCAGTATTTATTACTTTATTTGGATATTTTATATGCATGTTCACCAGTGACAGTGGTCTTTGGTTTTAAAGGCAGAATTTACTTTTGCCAGGTGTTGGGAAAATAAAATTCATCTCTCTTGCCAATGGCAGAAAATCCTCTCCACAAATATAGAAAAAAAAACAGTTTTATTACTGAATAAGCATTAAATCAGACCTTGATGCCCTTCACAAGCAATCAACTAATGAGATTAAAGGACAGGAAGAAATCTCATCCTTTTATATAAGCAAGCAGATGCAATCTAACACACACACACACACACACACACACACACACACACACAAACGTATCCTCAAGATTTAACAGTACAATTTGCTGCAGGAAATTTATTCTAAATTCACCTGTTAATTGGAGTTGCCACTGTGTTAATTAATTGCCTTTATCCAAATAAAAATAACATTTCTCATAGCTTTGACAAACCAGTCATTACAAGTTAGAGCCAGGGATGCTTCTTACTTCCCCTTCACTTGCCTGGGCAGCCTGGGGTAGTCACTCATCTCTGTCCCCAAAAGAACATGAGATATCAGTCCTAGCACTTATTTTAATTTCTCTGCTTTCTTACTTTCCTACCAGTGCTGCAATCCTCAATACAGTAGCCACTAGCTAACTTGGCTACAACATTTAAATTAATTAAAATGTAAAAATAAAATAATTAAAGAAAATTTAAAATTCATGTCCTCCATTGCTTAAGCCATAGTTCAAGTACTCAATCGTCACATGGGGCTGATGGCTACCGTATGATCAGTACACATGGAGAACACTTCCGCCACTGCAGAAAGTTCTCTTAGACAATACTGCACTGGATCATGAAGTTCTGTGTGTCAGTGTACACCGAAATCCACGTACAACTTTTCCTAACAGGTACTTCATAAGTGTTTAGAGGATGAACCAATGAACTATTTTGGCATAGTTCACTTTAGCCTTTACTTTTTTTTTTTTTTTAAGAGGCAGGTTCGGGCCAGGCACAGTGGCTCAAGCCTGTAATCCCAGCACTTTGGGAGGCCGAGGCTGGTGGATCACGAGGTCAAGAGATCGAGACCATCCTGGTCAACATGGTGAAACCCCGTCTCTACTAAAGATACAAAAAATTAGCTGGGCATGGTGGCGCATGCCTGTAATCCCAGCTACTCAGGAGGCTGAGGCAGGAGAATTGCCTGAACCCAGGAGGTGGAGGTTGTGGTGAGCCGAGATCGCGCCATTGCACTCCAGCCTGAGTAACAAGAGCGAAACTCGGTCTCAAAAAAAAAAAAAGAGGCAGGGTCTTGCTCCATCGCCAGGCTGGTGACATAATCATACAGTGACATAATCATCATAGCCCACTGAAGCCTAATACCACTGGGCTCAAGAAATCTTCCTACCTCATCAGCCTCCCCAGTAGCTGAGACAATAGGCATGCACGTGTCTCCCAACCTAATGAGTGACACAGGCCGTGGAAAACAACTAAGCAGTGATGGAGGAGTGGAAGTGCTAGGTCAGGGAAGGTGACTGCAAGTGCAAACCAGCGTTCAGGGAAGCTTTTCTGAGAATTCACCACCGAGCGAACACACGAAGGAGATAAGAATGCAGGCTTGTGCATATGTGGGTGAAGAATATTCCACGTGGATGGCACAGCAACTGGTGACAGTGGCTGGAGCTCACAGGGATGAGGAGGCAGAGGAGAAAGGTGGGATCAGAGAGGTAAGAGCCTAATTGTAGGAAGAGGTCACTGCAGAACCGGCTTTGAGTTAGCTGCTGAAAAATTTTAGGTTGAGGAATGACAGGAATTTATATAACAAAAGGATCACGGTGTCAGTTATACTGAGAACAGACTGATAAGGGTTAAGGGCAGATGCAGGGAATCCAGCTTTGAGGCTACCAAGATACTCCAGGTGGCTTAGACTGGGGTGGTGGTGGTGGTGGTGGTGGTGGGATAACTAATGGTCAGATGCTGTAAATGATGCATAATTTAGATCCCACTAGAGGACCTGCATGAGTTATAAGTCAAAGGGAAAAAATCAAGGATGACTCCAAACATCTCTTCACTTGAGACCACAGAGTACAGTTTTGACAACCATAATGCAAATAACATTAAAATTCAAACTTGCTTTGTGAATTATAGTTTAAAAATTTTGGCAAGACTGAAAAGTCTTCTAGCAGAAAACTAGAAAAGAGGAACACTGGGTGAGGAGGACAATACCTTGGAGCTCTCCCGTGGGCTCCATCCCTCCTATATTGAAAGGAACCATAGATCCCAGTCCCTTAAATGGACTTGATTAGGTGGAAACAGGCAGAAGCAAAGCAGACACACAGAGGCCTGATAAAGTATTCAGGGAGATTTAGGGACACACCGACTTACTTGAGACATTACTCTGCACTTTCCAACAGCCAACAGAGTCCTCTTTCCAGGCTCTAATTTTAGAGATAGGCAGTGTCCTAAGGGTACAGAAGGGCAGGAAAAAGCAGTCAGGAAAAAGCAGGCTTCTCTTGCAGCATCTGTGACACACTGTAATGGAAAGGCACACTGGTAATCACTCTCTGGGGCGTCAATCTCTCCCTGGGAACTAACAGGGTGTTTCTCGGCAAGGTTTAACCATTTTCCAGGTTCCACCTGCGGGGAAAGTCAATTTTTTTCTGTCCATAAAAGACTCGTGGGCCGGGCACGGTGGCTCAAGCCTGTAATCCCAGCACTTTGGGAGGCCGAGGTGGGTGGATCACGAGGTCAAGAGATGGAGACCATCCTGGTCAACATGGTGAAACCCCGTCTCTACTAAAAATACAAAAAATTAGCTGGGCATGGTGGCGCATGCCTGTAATCCCAGCTACTCAGGAGGCTGAGTCAGGAGAATTGCCTGAACCCAGGAGGCGGAGGTTGTGGTGAGCCGAGATCGCGCCATTACACTCCAGTCTGGGTAACAAGACCGAGTTTTGAAACTCCGTCTCAAAAAAAAAAAAAAAGACTCCTAAACAATAGTAATAACTTTATCAGCTCGTTCAGTCTTCACCACTATACACGGTGGGCATACACATTATTCCAGATTGTTTTTCTTCTTCTGATTTTGAGATGGGAGTCTCGTTGTGCCGCCCAGGCTAATTTCTTTATTTATATATTTTTTTAATTTTTATTTTTAGTAGAAACAGGGTTTCACCATGTTGGTCAGGCCGGTGTGGCAGCTCACACCTGTCATCCCAGCACTTTGGGAGGTGGAGGCGGGCAGATCGCTTAAGGTCAGGAGTTCCAAACCAGATTTCTTTTTTTAAAACGAAGACAAAACAAATTCCGAGATACTGAACCCATTTTTTTCAAGGTTACACAACTGCAAAGCGCCGGCTTCATGACTACATAACCCCAAAACAACCGTGGCTGGCGTCTGCTCTCGCGCCCACTTTCCACTCACAACAGCGCCAAGACGTCGGCGCCGTCATCACCCGCGTTTACACAGCAGGACGCGAAGGCCCGGAAAAGCCAAGACGACCCCAGCTGGGGTCACACCGCGGGCCGACCCAGGGCCGGAGCCCCGCCGCCGCCCCCGGGACCCACACAGGCCGGAGTCCTCACCGTCCACGCAGGCGCCCCGAGTCCGCACTTCCGCGGACCTGACGCGCTGCGTCGCTGGTGAGCAGGCAACGGCTGCCGACCTCCGGGAACGACACTGCCCAGAACCGTTTCTGAACCTGGGAGCCGCCCCCAGGCCTGAGGCTACCGCAGGACCGACCCACTGCAATGCCCACGGCCAAGCGACAATTCCCAGAATCCTCCGCGCTCGGGACAAAAGTCCCCGGCTCCGCGAACCGCCGGCACCAGAAGACTACACTTCCCACTAGTCTCTGCCGCCGCGCGGACCTGGCGCGCCGCGGGCAAATGGTTGTCGGCTTCGTAAGAAAAGCCTGGGGCTGTTATTTCTAGAGCCGGCCAACTAGGACCACACGCGAAGTGCCCTGGGCGCACACAGTCGTCCTATGGTGAACGATACGCTTCGGAGCTAAGGGACCCTCTACGTGTAAGGACAATGGCGCCCGCGTTACGAAACTACAATTCCCAGAGAACTCTACAGCTGTGCGAGAAGTTCTTCCGGGTCATTCTTGCGGTCTCTCACACACAAGTTTCCCTCTGGGACGTGCGCCGCTGTTCATGGTACCGCCCAAGGCGCTGGCGGTTGCTAGCAAAGGGACTGCTCTCATCCCAAACCCTACTGCTACGCTGTCCACCTCGCATGGTCTTTGAGGTTTTCGGTCATTTGCCTAAGACGATAACTCACAAAACGCCCTGTGGCCGGACTGTCACGACTGTGTTTCGCCAACCAAGGAGATTTCCTGGAAATGCATGCGTACAAGTATCTGGGACACTATGGCCGTTTTGATGTGAGTTACGCCCCCTCGGGGGACTGGGAAACACGGAACTTGAGTGAGCACCAGGACAGACCCTCATCCTGGGAGAAGTCATTCCTCACGCAGCCATCAGAGCCTGAGGCTTCCCCCCAACCTCGAAGTGCTTCTTGGGCTCTGACCTTACCCAATCAACCCAAAAGGACAATGGTCCTCTCTATATGCAAGGCTGAGCAGTCTACTGTTGGTATATATTTGGGTTGTTTGCTTTCTTTTTAACATTTGAATTAAATTTTAATTTCACGTTTTTAATTATAGTGTGGCTATAGACTTTTTTGTACTTGTCAAGTACTGACCTTCATGATCTTCGTGGAGCAGTGCTTCTGTTACCAGAAAGGGGTCTCAGTCCAGACCCCAAGAGAGGGTTTCTGGGTGTCACGCAAGTAAAAATCCGTGGGAGTCCACAGTGCAAGGCCAGAGCAAGTTTATTAAGAAAGCGAAGAAACAAAAGAATGGCTACTCCATAGGCAGAGCAGCAGCTTGGACTGCTGGACTAAGGAAGCTGGTGGTTATTTCTTGATCATATGCTAAACAAGGGGTGGATTATTCATGAGTTTTCTGGGAAAGGGGTGGGCAATTCCGGGAGCTGAGGGTTTCCCTACTTTTTAGACCATACAGGGTAACTTCCGAACCTTACCATGGCATTTGTAAACTGTCATGACACTGGTGGGAGTGTCTCTTAACGTGCTAATGCGTTATAATTAGCATATAAGGAGCAGTAAGGACAACCAGAGGTCACTCTCCTCACTCTCTTGGTTTCCGTGCATTTTGATTGGCTAATTTACTGCAAAACCTGTTTTATCAGCAGGCCTTAATGACCTGTATCTTGTGCTGACCTTCTGTGTCATCCTGTGACTTAGAATACCTTAACTGTTTGGGAATGCAGCCCAGTACGTCTCAGCCTTATTTCACCCGGCCCTATTCTCGTGTATCCTGTGCATGCAGTGGTGAATTCCTATAGCAGTCATAGTTTTAAAAAACACCGTGGGCCAGGCGCGGTGGCTCACGTCTATAATCCCAGCACTTTGGGAGGCCCAGGCGGGTGGATCATGAGGTCAAGAGATCGAGACCATCCTGGTCAACAAGGTGAAACCCCGTCTCTACTAAAAATACAAAAATTAGCTGGGCGTGGTGGTGTGCGCCTGTAGTCCCAGCTACTCGGGAGGCTGAGGCAGGAGAATTGCTTGAATCCAGAAGGCGGAGGTTGCGGTGAGCTGAGATCATGCCATTGCACTCCAGTCTGGGTAACAACAGCGAAACGCAGTCTCAAAAAAAAAAAAAAAAAGCATTGTGGCATCAGCTGGCTTCCTCTCAAGACTTAGAGTGTGTAATAAGGAAAGACTGGATTGTGCAAAGCATATTCCGTCTATGAATTTATTGTACGTCAAATTGTTTTCAAAATTGTACCAATTTTCAGTCCTACCAAGAGTTTATGGTTATTTTGGTTGCCAACATTTTGTTTATCTACTAGGTGTGAAATCATAACTCACTGTGGCTTAAAGTTGCACTGTTTAATTGTTAATGAGATCGAGAATGGTTTTGAATGTCTGTTGGCCTTAGTATTTCCTTCTCTGAGAATTAATTGCAGGTCCTTTGCTCAATGTTTTGTTTATATATATATATATATAATTTTTTTTTTTTTTTTAGACAGAGTTTCGCTCTTGTTGCCCAGGCTGGAATAGTGCAATGGCACAATCTCAGCTCACTGCAACCTCCACCTCCCGGGTTCAAGCAATTCTTCTGCCTCAGCCTACTGAGTAGCTGAGATTACAGGAATGCGCCACCATGCCCAGCTAATTTTGTAGTTTTAGTAGAAATGGGGTTTCACCATGTTGATCAGGCTGGTCTTGAACTTCCAACCTCAGGTGATCTGCCTGCCTTGGCCTCCCAAAGTGCTGGAATTACAAGCGTGAGCCATCGCACCCAGCTTGCTCAATGTTCTTTTGAAACGATGACCTTTTTAATATTAAAATGCAAGAGGCATAGGATAAAATGATTTTTTTTTTTTTTTGAGACAGAGTTTGGCTGTTGTCACCCAGACTGGAGTGCAATGGCACGATCTCAGCTCACCGCAACCTCCGCCTTCTGGATTCAAGCAATTCTCCTGCCTCAGCCTCCGAGTAGCTGGGACTACAGGCGTGCACCACCATGCCCAGCTAATTTTTGTATTTTTAGTAGAGACGGGGTTTCACCTTGTTGACCAGGATGGTCTGGATCTCTTGACCTCATGATCCACCCACCTTGGCCTCCCAAAGTGCTGGGATTATAGGCGTGAGCCACCACGCCTGGCCAAAAATGAGATTTTTAAGGAGGCAGTGCAGTGACTAGGATATTAAAATTGTTTCCCACTTAGAATCCTGGGTTTTCAACTGAAATACTAACTGAATGTGTTTTCTGCAGTTTGGTGTAATGTTTCTGGTTATGAGATTCTTAAATCCTTTCCTGCTTGGTATTTGCTTAACAACTTGAATCTGTGAAGCACCATCTTCAGTGCTCAGCAAACTCTTCCTCTCATACATCGCCTCTTCCCCATTCTTTCCCTCCCTTGAGAACTCCAATTCATTTTAAGGCAGTAATGTGTTACCACTCTCTATCCTCCAGGAGTCTTAAATTCTCTGTAACTTCCATCCTTCAATCTCTATGTTGCATCCTGGATCATTTATTTCAATCGACTATTCATAATTCTCTCTCCAGGACATATTAATTTCAATTTTTCAAAGATGTTTTTAACATGGTAGGCATAGTTGCTTCATAAAATGTATCTGATAATAATAACTGAAGATTTTAGCCCCTTGGGAAGTTTATTTTTAAATATTTCAATCAGTTTGCTTTGCATCCTTTTTTGTTGGTTACCTTTGTCTTTCCTTAAAATTCATGGAGCTTCCCCATATCCTTAGATGAAAGTGCCTTTCTCGTCTAGAGATGATGGAATTTTATTTTCAGACAAGACCAGGATCCCTACCACTCTGGAACCACGTTAAACCACACTTAAGACTTACGTCCCTGCTCAGTCCATCCAGAAAAGCTTACATAGAGACTCTTCTTTATTGCTGCTTTTCCTCATGAGCTCCCTGGAAGAATTATGGTGACTTCCCATTGTGAGTCCTCAGATATTTGTAATGTGAGTTAAGTTCATGAGTGGAGAGAGGGCCAACATTTGAGGACTAGATATGACTCAGGGCAGAGGTGAGAACTTTAAATGGAGGCTAGTCCTTTTGATTCAATAGCTATGTCTGGCCAGCATTACTGTGAAGCTAAACCCCTAACCTGTGAGTGCTCCATCATTAGGGAAGCAGAAGCCTAGGAGAGCTAGAGAATGCCATTTTAAGTACAGCTCCATTCTGAGACTAGCAAAGTACATTCCTTGCCTGTCATGAGCCGTAGTCACGAAGTCTTTATAGTTGAGGAAACAGTCTGAAGATAGATACAGGGACACTCGTACAACAGTGGGGAGCCTAGATATCCCAATACCCATAACAATGTATGCTTTCAAGATAATAGTTATGCTTTCATGTGCTTGACACTAGAATGTCAAGGCTAGTTTAAATGAATACAGTAATAAATTTTGTCATTCTTCCTGCTCATCCACACATAGACACAGCTTAGCTTAGTTTGTTTATAGATAAGACTCCCGTATAAGAAAAACTTAAAGCCAGTACGTTCCTCCTCTTGCTTTCTGAGGGCCTCCTGCTCTCTAATGGTGTAGCTTCTAAGAAACTTGCTTCTTTTACTGCACTCTGTGACTCACCTTAAATTCCTTCCTGAACAAGATCCAAGAACCCTCTCTTGGGGTCTGGATCGAGACCCCTTTTCCAGTAACACCATAACTTGCACTGTTAGCAGAAAGGATAGAGGCACCGGAATAGGGACCAAGGAGGAGAAATCAGGCGCGTGAGGTGGAGAGAATCACCAGCATAAACAAGTCTGTTTTAAACAAATATTACGCCAGACAATTGAGAAAGTAAATGAGGCAGAGAGAGAGAGAAAGAGAGCAATAAGGAGAAAGGAAAACACACTACATGCAATTCTGAGCCTACCCCCTTCCACTAGCTCTTAGCTGCCTTCTGTCCCTTTCCTACTTAATATAATGCAGTGTTTCCAATCAGTGATTTTTGCTGTTGGGATCTGTCTAGTCGAGGGCACATTTTAGAATATGTACTTGGGAGAAGAAAAGCCGGTTTGCGTTGATGCTGAAGCTGTTTTAAGATTCAGGGCGCGCTATGATCTGAATGTCTGTCCCCTGCCTCTGCCACTGAATCATATGTTGAAACCAAATCCCCAATGTGACAATATTAAGAGGTGAGACCTTTGAGGAGATATTAAGTCATGAGGCTGGAGTTCTTATAAATGGATTGGTGCCCTCATAAAAGAGGCCCAAGCTTGTTTGCTCAGAAGGTGGACAGTGTAAGGGCAGGGTTTCGGGATGAGAGGAGCCCCTTTGCTAGCAACGTTTCACGGAACCAACAAGGACTGCCCACGTGCCGGAGGGAAACGTTTGTGTGAGCGCACAAATCACCCGGAAGACCTTGGCGCGGCTGCAGAGTTTTCTGGGAAGTGTAGTTTCTTGGTCCTTACAAGTAGCGGGTGTCCCTTGGTTCCGAGGTGTATCGGTCAACAGAGGACGACTGTGTGTGCTAAGGACACTTCGCCCGTGGTCCTAGCTGGCAGGCTCTGGGTCGACATCCCCAGGTAGTTTAGTTTCTTACGAAGCCAAGACCGGTTTGCCCGCGGCGCGCCAAGATCCCGCTGCCGCAGAGACTCTTGGGAAGTGTGGTCTTCCGGTGTCGGCGGTTCGTGGCACCCGGGATTTTTGTCCGGCACGCGGAGGATTCTGGGAAATGTGGCTCGGTCGTGGACGCCATACAAGGTACGCCCCGCGGTAGCCTCAAGTTTGGCGGCGGCTTCCAGACTCAGGAACGATTCTGAGCAGTGTTGTTCCCGGAGGTCGACGGCCGTTGACTGCTCACCAGCGACGCTGCGATTCAGGTCCGCAGAGGTGCGGGTTCGGGGCGCCTGCGGGGACGGTGAGGCCCCGCTGAGGACTCCGGCAAGTGTGGGTCCCGGGGGCGGCGGCGGGGCTCGGGTCCTGGGTCGGCCCGCGGTGTGACCCCGGCTGGGGTCTTGGCTTTTCCTGGCCTTCGTGTCCTGCTGTGTAAACACGGGGTGATGACGGCCCCGACCTCTTGGCGCGGTTGTGAGAGCGAAGTGAGCGCGAGAGCAGACGCCAGCCACAGTTGTTTTGGGTTATGTAGCCATGAAGCCGGCGCTTTGCAGTTGTGTAACCTTGAACAAATGGGTTCGGTATCTTGGAATTTCGGTTTTGTCATCGTTTAAAGAAGAAATTTGGAATAATGTGAATGCCCATCGCGCATAGTGGTGAAGATTGAACGAACTGATAAAGTTATTGCTGTTGTTTTATGAGGCTTTTATGTACAGAATAATTGATTTTCCTCGCAAGTGGCACCTGGTAAATTGTTACACCTTGCGGAGAAACACCTGTTTGTTCCCAGGGAGAGATTAGCGCCCCGGAGAGTGATTACCAAGGTGCTTTTCCATTACGGGGTGTCACAGGTGCTGCAAGATAAAAGCGTGATTTTTCCTAACTGCTTTTTCCTGCCCTTCTGTGCCTTCAAGACACTGCCCATTTCTAAGATAAGAGCCTGGAAAGACGACTCTGCTGGCTGTTGGAAATTGCAGAGCAATGTCTCAAGTAAGTCGGTGTGTCCTTAAATCTCCCGGAAACACTTTATCAGGCCTCTGTGTGTTTGCTTTGCGTCCGCCTGTTCCCACCTAATCAAGTCCATTTAAGGGACTGGATTACGGTTTCTTTCATTGTCCTTCTCACCTAGCGTTCCCGTTTTCTACAGTTTTCTGCTAGAAGACTTTGTAGTCTTGCCAAAATTTTTAAACTGTAATTCACAATGCAGGTTTGGAATGTAAGGTTGTTTTATGGTTGTCAAAACTGTACCATGTGGTCTCAAGTGAAGAGATGTTTGCGGTCATCCTTGATTCTTCCCCTTGACTTATAACTCATATTCAGGTCCTCTAATTGGATCTAAATTATACACCATGTACAGCATCTGACCATCAGTTACCCCATCACCACCACCACCTCATCCAAGCCACCTGTATTATCACAGTAGCCTCCTAGCCAGATTCCCTGCACCTGCCCTTAACCCTCATCAGTCTGTTCTCAGTACAGCTGTCACCGTGATCCTATTGTTATGTAAATTCCTGTCATTCCTCAACCTAAACGTTTTCAGTGACTAGCTCAAAGTCAGTTCTGCAGTGACCTCTTTGTACAATTAGGCTATTATCTCTCTGGTTCCACCTTCCTTCTCTGCCTCCTCATCCCTGTGAGCTCCAGCCACTGTCACCAGTTGCTGTGCCATCCACGTGGAATATTCTTCACCCACATATGCACAAGCTTGCATTCTTATCTCCTTTGTGTGTTCGCTCAGTGGTGAATTCTCAGAAAAGCTTCCCTGAATGCCGGTTTGCAATTGCAGTCACCTTCCCTGACCTAGCACCTCCACTCCTCCATCACTGCTTGGTTGTTTTCCACGGCCTGTGTCACTCACTAGCTGATGTACTGTGTGTTCAGTAGATGTACATGCTCATTGTCTCTTCCTGGTGGGAGGAATATTTTTTCTTTTTTGTTGACTGTTATAGCTTCAGTACCCAGAGTGGTACCTGGCACCAAATAGATGATTAGTAATTGTGGAGTGAATAAGATGAGTCATGAAGAACTGGTGGGGCAGAATCATGGCATGGAAGGTGAAGCTTGCACAGGAGGGGATGTGGGTGGCAGGTGTACCTGTTGGGTGAAGTCTGTTTTCTTGGAAAAATTAGGTAATTAGAATTGAAAAACTGGTGTGGTGGTACATGCCTCTTGTGCCAGCTACTCAGGAGGCTGATGAGGTGGGAAGATTTCTTGAGCCCTGTGGTACAAGGCTGCAGTGGGCTATGATTATGTCACTGTACTCCAGCCTGGTGACAGAGCAAAACCCTGTCACTTTAAAAATAATAATAATAGGCTGGACGCGGTGGCTCAGGCCTGTAATCCCAGCACTTTGGGAGGTCAAGGCGGGTAGATCACGAGGTCAAGAGATTGAGACCATCCTGGCCAACATGGTGAAACCCCATCTCTACTAAAAATACAAAAATTAGCTGGGCATGGTTGCGCACGCCTGTAGTCCCAGCTACTTGGGAGACTGAGGCAGGAGAATTACTTGAACCCAGGAGGCAGAGATTGCAGTGAGCCAAGATTGCACCACTGCACTCCAGCCTGGCGCCTTGTGACAGAGCAAGATTCTGTCTCAAAAAAATAATAATAATTAATAAAAATAAAGGCTAAGGGAAACTAATGCTAAAATCATTCATTGGTTCATCCTCTAAACACTTATGAAGTACCTGTTAGGAAAAGTTGTGCGTGGATTTCGGTGTACACTGACACACAGGACTTCATGATCCAGTGCAGTATTGTCTAAGAGAACTTTCTGCAGTGGCGGAAGTGTTCTCCATGTGTACTGATCATACGGTAGCCATCAGCCCCATGTGACGATTGAGTACTTGAACTATGGCTTAAGCAATGGAGGACATGAATTTTAAATTTTCTTTAATTTTACATTTTAATTCATTTAAATGTATGTAGCCAAATTGGCTAGTGGCTACTGTATTGAGGATTGCAGCACTGGTAGGAAAGTAAGAAAGCATTAGACATTATAACAAATGTTAGGACGGATATCCTAGGTTCTTTTGGGGACAGAGATGGGTGAATACTGCAGGCTGCCCGGGTAACTGAGGGGGAAGAAAGAAGCGTCCCTGGCTCTAACTTGTCATGACTGGTTTGTCATAAAGCTTTGAGAAATGTTTTTTTTTATTTAGGATAAAGGCAATTAACACAGTATCAACTCCAGTTAACAAGTGAGTTTAGGGTAAATAATGTGTAGCAAATTGAACTGTCAAGTCTTACTTGAAGATAAGTTATTGTTTATTTGCTTTTTTTTTTTTTTTTTGAGACGGAGTTTTGCTCTCGTTACCCAGGCTGGAGTGCAGTGGTGCGATCTCGGCTCACCGCAACCTCCGCCTCCTGCGTTCAGGCAATTCTCCTGCCTCAGCCTCCTGAGTAGCTTGGATTACAGGCACGCGCCACTGTGCCCAGCTAATTTTTTGTATTTTTAGTAGAGACAGGGTTTCACCATGTTGACCAGGATGGTCTTGATCCTCGTGATCCACCCGCCACAGCCTCCCAAAGTGCTGGGATTACAGGCTTGAGACACCGCGCCTGGCCTCAATTCTGTGTTTAAAACCAAAGACCACTGGTGAACATGCATGTAAAATAGCTAAATAAAGTAATACAGTATTGAATTTTAACTCTCAGAACTAAAACTACCACAGTAGAGCAGTCTGTTTCACAAATCAAAGACAGTAATAATGCTGTATTAAGTGGATGTATTTTTTGCACATATTATACTTTGACTAGCCAATAAGGTATTGAATATTTAAGCTTCTAAAGTTTTACTATTTTCAATACTGTGAAATGAGTACTACTGAGAGGAATTCTAAGCACATCTGTGAGCATTTCCTTAGAATATTTTCTTTGAAATGTGTTGTTATTTTTTCCTCTTAGTTTCTGGTCCTATGTAAGGACTGTCTATGGCAGGGGTCCCCAAGCTTTTTGGCACCAGGGATCAGTTTCATGGAAGACAGTTTTTCCATGGAAGTGGGAGGTGGTGGAGGTGGTGGTTTGGGATGAAACTGTTCCACCTCAGACCCTTAGACATAGGTTAGATTCTTTTTTTTCCTTTCTTTAAAATTTATTTTTTATTTATTTTATTTATTTTTTAAGACAGGGTTTCACCACCATGTTGGTCAGGCTGGTCTTGAACTCCTGACCTCAGGTGATCCACCTGCCTTGGCCTCCAAAGTGCTTGGATTACAGGCGTGAACCACCGCACCTGGCCCATAGGTTAGATTCTTATAAGGAGCGTGCAGCCTCGATCCCTTCACACAGTTCACGGTAGAAATTGCACTCCTATGAGAATCTAATGCCATGGCTGATCTGACAGGAGGCAGAGCTCTGGTGGTAATGGTAACTTGGCTGCCATGCACCTCCTGCTGTGTGACCTGGTCCGTGACAGGCCACAGACTGCTATCAGTTTGTGGGTTTAGGGACTGCTGATCCATGGCATGAAATCATCCTTCATTCTTTTCACCCAGGGGCATCACATTTTAATTATTAAATGTCTGTCAATACAGAGTTTAAGTATACACCATCGATATATTTTTCTTTTTTATGTATCAGTTATGCATATGTTTTAGTCCATTTGTCGTGCTGTAACAAAATACTGTGGACTGAGTAATTTATAAACAGTAGGAACTGACTTCTCAGCTGGGCCTAGTTGCCCACACCTGTCATCCCAGCACCTTAGGAGGCCAAGGCGATGAGGTGGCGGATCACTTGTGGTCAGGAGTTTGAGACAAGCCTGGCCAACATGTTAAAACGCCTGTCTCTACTAAAAATACAAAAATTAGCCGGGCATGATGGCAGGCACCTGTAATCCCAGCTACTCGGGAGGCTGAGACTGGAGAATCTGTTGAACCTAGAAGGCAAGGTTGCAGTGAGCCGAAATCACACCATTGCACTCCAGCCTGGGCAACAGAGGTTGGTGGTTCTCCTGCCTGGCACACCACCACCGAACTCTCTCCCCTGGAGGTCTTGATTTTTTTTACTGGATTCCTTAGATTCCTCAAGTTAGGTTTCAGCTTTCTCCTGAATTGCAATCATCGTTGCCATCTAGATTCCGATTTCTTGCATCTGTGATTTCCATCATCACTGTCTGATTAAGAACCATTCCTGGGGATGTAGTGCCATGTTTTAGAGAGCTTTCTGCATGCAGCCTAGAAAAGGAAATCCCATCAGACGAATAGCAGACTTCTCAGCAAACATTTTACAAACCAGAAAAGATTGGGGCCTGTTTTTAGCCTTCTTAAAGAAAAAAGAAAGAAAGAAATTGACTTCTCATGGTTTCGAAGCTTGGGAACTCCGAGATCAAGGGGCAGGCATCTGGCAAGGGCCCCGTTGCTGTGTCCTTTTATGGTGGATGGGCAGAGAGAAGAGACAGAGGCAAAAGGACGCCTGAACACATTTTTTAAATAGGAACCCACTCCCATGATGATGACATTAGTCCATTCAGGAAGGCAGAGCTCTGTAGGCCTAGTCATTTTCTAAAGGTCTCACTACTCAGTACTGTTACAACAGTGCTTAAGTTCAATGCATGCTTTTTTGAGGGTCACAGTCAAACCTTAGCCATGATGTCTATCAGTGTTTAATATAAAGATGTCTTTTTTTCTGAACCCATTTTTTGTGAGCCTTAGTGGATCATCCCAAGTATCTGATTTGAGGAACAATCACTTTAGCCTCATTTTTTAATTACTTGCCTATTACTTAATACGTAAAAGATATAATTAAATACTTGACTCTGTGCTGTCAAATAAATGCTGATTTTTTAAAATTTGTGTAATTCTATAACTTTTAAGAAGTTCACTGAAGCAAACCTCTATTTGTCTCACCCTTATTATTTAATAATTCTAAGCACATAGTGTCCCTTATTATATAATAATTCTGTCTGTATAACTATTATTACTTAACCGAGATCACAGTCCCAATCATTGTCACAACTCCTGAATCTTGTTCCATTTCTTCCACAACCAGCCTAATTTTACCCCTCTTCAGTGACAGAAGAGGCCTGCGCTATGGTTGAACCTAAATATATTTGCTATTTCAGGTGACATTTAGTGATGTGGCTATAGACTTCTCTCATGAAGAGTGGGAATGGCTAGATTCTGCTCAGAGGGACTTATACAAAGATGTGATGGTCCAGAATTATGAGAACCTGGCCTCTCTAGGTAAGGACATCACCCCTTCCACTCCAATAAGGAACACCTTTCGTTTGCCGCTCTGAATTGCTGGAGATCCTCCTAAGTAAATGGCTGAATTTCTGTACCATGTTTCCAAGGAAATGTGTAGCTCTGTTGTGCCCGGCCTGAAGCTTATCTTTCCATGCCAGTGACACCCTTCATCCCTTCCTGTGGTCTCTTGTGATGGCCTCTCATAATAGAGGACCGCAGCTTACGCAATTCTGTGTTCTTCCTGTAAGCAGGTCTTTCCATAACTAAGCCACATGTGATCACGCTATTGGAGGATGGAAAAGAGCCCTGGATGGTGGAGGAAAAACTGTCCAAAGGTGTGACTCCAGGTGAGTCATGGTGAACGAGACAAGGGAAGTTTCTGTTAAAGATGCTTATAGTGAGGATGGAGGCATTTTAGGGATACTGTCTTCAAAGATCTCCGATATAAATGAAAACTGAGGGGTATTTAGCTTAGCTTTTCCAAACAGTTGTTCCTCTATCCCAAATTATTATCTGTACCACTCATGTCATCTAATCAAGGTTAGAGGTTTTTGCCACCATAATAATTCAAATTGTTACTCTATTCAGACAAAGTAAGGCAAATTATTCCTTCTTAAATCTACTTAAGGAAAAACATACTGATTGTTTTGGGCTAAGAAAAGCTGTCAGTTGGATAGAAAATCAGTTTTCTAAAGCTGAGCTTTGTAGATGAAATATGAACATAAAAATACGTTGCTAGGCATAATATTTTCTAACGTCCAATAGATGGTATGATTCACAGTTTCTTCATAACTTCAGAAAGCCCAAATCTTTGTCAGCTATAAAGAGCATTTAGATTATTTTGTTTTACTGTTTAATGTAGTAATATCAATTCTGTATTTTAAGCATGTTAATCTGGCAGCAAATTGAGATTAAGGGAAGGCTGGAGAAGAAGGCCATGAGACAAAATGCAATCTTTCACACACGAATATTGGCACAAAATGATGGCTCGGAATCCAGAATGTCTTACACATTTATTTCCGATAGTTTTCTTTTTTTCACATACTATTTTATCCATTATGTATATTTTACCTATTTCTCTTAGCACTTTCTCCTCTTGATTCTGTGAACTTTGTACTCTCTGCTCCATTTGAGCATTGTTGAGAAATCATTGAAATATTTTGAGTTTTCTGAACTATGCATTTTATGGAGGCTTCAAAGCCATTTCTCCTAATTCCACCATAGAAGTTTCTTTTCAAGAAGTTAAACAAACAAAAAAAAGCAGTGCTTTGCGTTCTTGATATATTTCAGATTGGGAATCAAGATTGGGAAACAAGGAATTATCATCAAAGAAAGATGTTTATGAGGAAGATTCACTTCAGACAATAATAGAAAAAGTTGTAAAGCAAAGTTACGAATTTTCAAATTTTAGTAAGAACTTGGAATACATAGAGAAGCAGGAAGGGAAGCATGGACGTCAGGTGGAGCATTATTTCAGACCAACTCTCACCTCTAGAGAAAGCTCCACTGGGGACAGTTGCACATACAACACATTGAGAAGCACCTTTCATTCAAAGTCTACTCTTTCCGAACCACAAAAAATTTCTGCTGAAGGGAATTCACACAAATATATATTAAAGAAGAATTTACCCAAAAAGTCAATTATAAAAAATGGAAAGAAATTTTTGAATTCTAATGAAAGTGGAGCAGCCTTTAACCAGAGCAGATCTCTTACCCTTCCCCAGACTTGTGATAGAGAGAAAATCTATATCTGTAGCGAATGTGGGAAAGCCTTTGGCAAACAGTCAGTCCTCAATCGACACTGGAGAATTCATACAGGAGAGAAGCCCTATGAATGTCGTGAATGTGGGAAGACTTATAGCCATGGCTCATCCCTTACACGACATCAGATAAGCCATAGTGGAGAGAAACCATATGAATGTATGAACTGTGGAAAGTCTTTTAGTCATGTATCTCATCTCATTGAACATCTAAGAATTCATACCCAAGAAAAACGCTATGAGTGTCGTATATGTGGAAAGGCTTTCATTCATAGGTCATCTCTCCTTCACCATCAGAAAAGCCATACTGGAGAGAAACCCTATGAATGTAGTGAATGTGGGAAAGCTTTCTGCTGTAGCTCACACCTTACTCAACATCAAAAAATTCACACTATGAAGAAAAAATATGAATGCAACAAATGTCTGAAAGTCTTTAGTAGGCCCTCGTTTCTTGTTCAGCACCAGAGTATTCATACTGACATTTTGAATGTCAGAAATGCAGGAAATCCTTTAACCAGCTTGAATCACTGAACATACATTTGAGAAATCACATTAGATTGAAACCTTATGAATGCAGTATATGTGGGAAAGCCTTCAGTCACAGGTCATCCCTGCTTCAACATCAGAGAATTCATACTGGAGAGAAACCTTACAAATGTATTAAGTGTGGGAAAACCTTTAGCTGCAGTTCAAACCTTACTGTCCATCAGAGAATTCATACTGGAGAAAAGCCATATAAATGTAGTGAGTGTGGGAAAGCTTTTAGCAAAGGCTCAAATCTTACCGCCCATCAAAGAATACATAATGGAGAGAAACCCAGTAGTGTGGTAAGTGTGGAAAAGCCTCTAGGCCACATGAATCACTATACGCGTGAGAAATCTTACAGAAGAGAGGCTATATGTAGCAGTATTTATGATAAACCTCATTCGTAGATTCTCATTTAACATCAGAAATATTTATACTGGAGAAATCTTACGAATGTAGTGAATATGGGAAGACAGTTATGCAGATCATTTTGTTTATCAGAGTTTATACTGTAGGGAAATCATATGAAGACCATAAATGTGGGAAAGCGTTTGTCAGTATTAATCCTTAATTGACATAAGCATACTCACACTAGGAGAAAACCATGTACATGTAGCAAATATGGGAAAGACTAGGCAACAGGAATCTCTACAGACTCCTACAGGAGAGAAGCTGTGTGAATGCAGAAAATTTAGAAATTGAGGGAAGTCTTCAGTTTCAAGAGCATCCCTTATTTTACAAAACACTCAAGCTGTAGAGAAATCTCATTTAAGAGATGTAGCAAAGCGTTCACTAAGTGTTTATCTTGCTAGACATCAGAAGATTAATGATAGAACAATCTGAAGGATTTAGAAATTATATGTAAATCTTTGCAGTGACACCATTTGTAAACAGGATTCTGCAGTAGAACAAATAAAGATAGTATAATAATAATTATTATTATTATTATTTGAGACAGAGTTTCGCTCATTACCCAGGCTGGAGTGCAATGGCGTGATCTCAGCTCACCACAACCTCTGCCTCCTGGGTTCAAGCAATTCTTCTGTCTCAGCCTCCCAAGTAGCTGAGATTACAGGCACGCGCCACCATGCCCAGCTAATTTTTTGTATTTTTAGTAGAGACGGGGTTTCACCTTGTTGACCAGGATGGTCTCGATCTCTTGACCTCGTGATCCGCCTGCCTCAGCCTCCCAAAGTTCTGGGATTATAGGCATGAGCCACCGTGCCCAGCCATTTTTTGTATTTTTATAGAGACAGGGTTTCACCACGTTGACCAGGATGGTCTCAATCTCTTGACCTCGTGATCCACCCGCCTCGGCCTCCCACAGTGCTGGGATTACAGGCGTGAGCCACCGGGCCCAGCGAAGGTAGTGTAATTAGTGTGCATTTCTTAGAGCAGCAGCTTGCAGCTTTGTTGAGTTTTACTTAGAGATTCTTTTTAGCTAGTGGCCATTTTAAGACATTTAGTCACCCAGAGGAGCCAGTAAGTGTTATAATGTTAAACATTAAAGCTGCAGGCTGGGCGTGGTGGCTCACACCTGTAATCCCAGCACTGTGGGAGGCGGAGGCAGGCGGATCATGAGGTCAAAAGATTGAGACCACCCTGGCCAACATGTTGAAACCCCGTCTCTACTAAAAAATACAAAAATTAGCTGGCGTGGTAGCCTGTGCCTGTAGTCCCAGCTACTTGGGAGGCCGAGGCAGGAGCATTGCTTGAACCTGGGAGGCAGAGGTTGCAGTGAACTGAGATCATGCCACTGCACTCCAGTCTGGTGACAGAGTAAGACTTTGTCTCAGGAAAAAAAAAAAATCAAAAAATTAGCCAGGCCTGGTGGCTCGCACCTGTAGTACAAACTTCTCAGGTGGCTGAGGCAGGAGGATTGCTTGAGCTGAGGAGGTTGAGGCTGCAGTGAACCGAGATCATGCCACTGCAGTCCAGCCGGGGCGGCAGAGAGAGACTCTGTCTCGAAAAAAAAGAATATACAAAGAACTCCTACAAATCAACCAGAGATGGAAAAAAGAAAGAACATACAGTAATAAACGGGAAGAAAGACTTCTCACACTTCACTCAGTGACCAGTAGACATATGAAGAGGCCTCAACCTCATTACACCAGAAAATGCAAATGGAAACCACAGTGAGATGCCCCTGACACCACCTACAGATGGTTCACACGACTCGGACAGTACCAGCTGGTGGCGATGTAGAGCAGCAGGAAATACTACAGTGTGGCTGGGGATGTGCACTGCACAACTGCTTTAAAGGTTTCCTGTTTCCTCGGACAGCCAAGAATATGAATGCTGTATCACCTAAAATTCCACACACAGGCACAAACCTGTTCAATAACAAATGTTCATTTAAGAGCTCCCTGCAGTGTTATGATAGTAGAATCGGTACACATGGTAGATTTCTTGAACCATAAAGACAGCAATGTGGATTTGTTGTAACCTAGCGAGCGCGAAATCACCACTGAGACAAAGACTAGGCCAAATTACAGGGTCTTTATTGCCGGCGGCCGCAGAGGACCCACATCTCTCTAACCCATGGCCCCGAAAGGAGGGTGTCAAGAACTTCTATGCCCAAAAACCACCTCCTGATTGGGGGTGGGGGCGAGGGGCTTTGGACATTCCAATTGTTACTTAAGTGGTTCACAGAAGTCAAGGGAAGCGTTAGTTTACACATTGTCTGGGTAGGGTGGAAGTTATAGACCTTAGTTGCTTATTACAAGTCTTACAATGGCACAGGGGCCAAAATGGCGTTGGTTTGGGCTGCTTGCCTGTCACAATTAGGGTTACAGAGCGGTTTCAATGGAAAGCCGAAGTACGGTCGAGGTATGCAGTTTTTACCACGTCACGTTCCCCCTCGTTTTATTTACAGGAATTAAATCATTGATTTCTCCAGCAGGTCAGTACTGTTTGTTTGTTCTAAGGGTCCATATGGAGACCTTAATATCATTAATTTTACAGAGTCCACCCTAGATGTAATGAACCTGAGCAGTTGGTTTAGGAGGCAGGGGCCAGAGGTCCCACCAGCCCCGTAAGGAGGAAAGTGAGCCAAGGGGACCGGGAAAACATTTTTTGATGCCAACTTTCTGAAGCTTCTCGAAGTTGTTTTCTGGTTTCAAGATTCTGTCTGACCAGGGAGAGGCTCTCTCGGATGAGGCCTGACCTATTAGCATAGAAGCAACATTGTTCATTAAGGGTGGCACGTAACCCCCCTTGTTTTAAGAATAACAAATCTAGTCTTCTTGGAGCAGAGTTAGGGTTGTAGGGAAGGTCGCTGAGGGGGAGAATTGTTTGTTTGGATGAGGGGGCTTTGTATCTTTATAGGGGCTTGTATGACCTGAGCAATGGGTCCTATGGGTTGAGGCGGGGTTATACGCTGGATGGTAAAATGTTTCCTGTGTCCCACCGACTTATATATACCCTGAGACCCCAGGTCCGTCCCATGTTCTATTTACTATCAGGGGTCTTTTACAGTTACCTGATGTGGGTTGCAAGACCCGGCAGAACACGGGGATGGAGGAGACCCTCACTGAAGGGAAATGAAAGTGTCTGTGTTTTGGTTGTATCCTGATATGGTGGAGAGAGTCTCACAACCCCAATAGGGGCAAAATAACTCATTTAAGTCTCCACAGTTCCGTCTTTTTTGTGGGGCAGATCCTGGGCACAGATATAATCCCATGGTCTGAAGTTGTTGCTCTGCCCCTGAACTGCCGCACCCAGCTGTACTTCCACTTGTTCTGAAATTTAGGTTGGAGCCCAGGAGGACACAGAGGTCTAGGGAGAAGGTAATGGGGTTCTTTGTAATGTACTCAAGGGTTAAGTTGACTAGGGTGGATCCTTGTCCCGTCCCGAAAACATCCTCCAGTAGAGCCCTCGGTGAGGACCCATTGATAGTAGGTGGGTTCTCTGGGGGTGGGGGAGGATTTACAGCACGGATTAGGGTGGGGAGGGTGGTGACTGTGAAGAGCGCACAAGTCTTAGCTTCAGTGAGTCGGGGGATGAATGGTTGGTGCTCCTTGTCCTTCCGGTGGGGCAGTCTTGATGTAGGTGTGATGAATCCAGGCCCTTAGTCCGTCCACCTTGAGTGCAGTGCGAGTGGTCAGGATAACTGTGTAGGGTCCCTTCCACTGGGTGTGTGTGTGTGTGTGTGTGTGTGTGTGTGTGTGTGTATGAGGCTAGACATATCGAATATTTTAACAAGGACAGAGTCTACAGGCTGGAAAGGGTGTGTCGGCTGGTGTGTGAGGTCCAATGGGGTGGGACGGGTGTCCTTAATGAGCTGGTGTACCTGGGATTGAACAGACTGGAGTGCCTGTAAGGACTTAAGGAGTGTATAGTTATGGACTTCGGCATGCATAGTATCCACGGGTCTGGGGAGTAAGGGAGGGGGCCTGCCAAACATGATTTCAAAAGGGGAGAGGCCTTTCTGATAGCAGGCGCATTGGACGCGGAGGAGGACAAAGGAAGCAGGCTGACCCAGTTTTCACCGGTCTCTAGGATAAACTTTGTCAGGGTTTCTTTTATGGTCTGGTTCATTTGTTCGGCTTGTCCTGAACTCTGGGGACAATAGGCCTTGGGTAGGCCCTGAGAAATCTGTGAGTCAAGGCAGGCCCATTGTCCGACCCCAACGTTAGAAGGAGGCTGAACCGAGGAACAAGGTGCTGTAATAGTTTTCTGTGACCACCAAGGCAGTCTCGGACCTAGTGGGGAAGGCCTCAATCCATCCAGAGAATGTAGCTATAAACACCAGGAGATATTTATAGCCATTTACTGGGGGGTTTATTTCAGTGAAATCTACTTTCCAGTGCTCCCCAGGGCTGGTCTCTCCGAGTCTCACTCCTACCTGGCTAGACCTGTTCCCTCCCAGATTTACCGGGCACATACATCACACCGAGTAGTGATTTGATAAGTTCATGTAAGTGGGGAAAGTAGTACTTGGCTTTTAGCAGTTTAGTTTGGTCTGTCCTAAGTGAGTGGCCTGGTGTGTGTCCTTAACTAGGGCCCATCCTAGAGCCTCAGGGACCACAATGCTTTGGTCTGGCAGTATCCACCATCCTGTGGAGTGCTGTGTGGCACCCTGTTCCTTTGCAAAGTCCTTCTCACCTGAGGAGTACGTGGGAGTAGGGGGCAGAACTGGGGCGGGCAGGGTTACAAGGAGGGTCAGTGGTTTCACTGGCCCATGGCTGCCTGCCTGGCTGATAAGTCAGCAGCCCTGTTTCCCCTTGCCTCTGGTGACTCCCCCTTTCGGTGTCCCTTGCAGTGGACTAGTGCCACAGTCTTGGGCTTCCACAGCCTCCAGCAGGGCTGGAATTTCCTCTTTATTTTTAATAGCTTTTTCTTCTGAGGTAAGTAGTCCTCTTTCTTTATATATTGCTCCATGTACATGAGCTGTAGTGAAGGCATAACGGCTGTCGGTGTAAATAGTGACAGTCTTTCCCTCTGCCCAGTTTAAGGCTTTTATCAGGGCTGTAAGTTCAACCTTTTGGGCTGAAGTCCCATGAGGAAGGGCCTGGGCCCAGATGACCCGCTCTAGGGTGACTATGGCTGCCCCCACATACCTGACTCTGTTGACCGTAAAACTGCTGCCATCCGTATATAGTACCTCTTCTGGGTTCCGTGAGGGACATCGGTGAGGTCCAGTCGAGCGGTTTGGATGGCATCTATTATTTGTTGCCAGTCATTTATGGGTTCTTCTGGCTCACTCTTAGGCAGCAGTGTGGCTGGATTCAGGACTGTAGTCTTCAGGAACTTGATGCGGTGCTGGTCCAAGAGTAGAGCCTGATACTGTACTATGCAGTCATTAGACATCCACCTTCCTGAGCCCCGCGGAGTAGTGATTCTACTGCATGGGGTGCCACTTGGTTTAATTCCTGCCCCAGAGTCAGTTTGTCCGCCTCCTTTACCAGCAGGGCTGTTGCTGCCACGGACCGAAGGCAGGTGGGCCACCCAGGGCTACAGGATCAAGTCTTTTTGATAGGTAGGCGACTGGCCTGGACCATGGTCCTAATGTCTGGGTGAGCACCCCCTTCGCGATTCCTTGTTTTTCATGTACAAACAACCGGAAGGGTTTAGAAGTATCTGGCAAGGCCAGGGCTGGGGCCGAGGTCAGAGCGACTTGAAGTTTATCAGAAGCCTGTTGTTCTGCTGCTGTCCCAATTAGGGGTTGATTCCCTCCTGTGCAGGCATACAGAGGTGTGGCTATTTCAGCAAAACCTAAAATCCGTTGCCTACAGCACCCTACCGCCCCAAGGAACTCCCGAAGTTGGCGTTCTGTGGTAGGGGTGGGTATCTGTAGTACTGCTTGGACTCGGCTGGGCGCCAGCACCCGGTTGCCTTTTTCTTGATATAGCCCAGGTCTGTAACCTTTTGTTGACAGAGTTGGGCCTTTTCGGCTGAGATTTGATATCCTGGAGTTTGTGGGGTCAACAGCAGTGACTGGGTGGCTTCCTTGCAGGTCTCTTGGGTTCTTGAGGCCAGAAGTAAGTTATCTACATATTGGAGTAGAGTGCACTCAGGGAACTCAGCCTGGAAGGTGGCAAGATTCTGGCTAAGTGCCTCATCAAATAGGGTGGTAGAGTTTTTGAATCCCTGAGGCAGCCAGGTCCATGTGAGTTGCCCCATGACCCTAGTGTCCAGGTCCATCCACTCAAAGGTGAATATGGGTCTGCTGATTGGGGCCAGTGGGATGCAAAAGCATGCATCCTTGAGGTCCAGGATGTTATAGTAATGGTGGTTTCAGGTTCAGATGACTTAGGGTATATGGATTTGGGACCGTGGGGTGGACAGTTTCTACTCTTTTATTTACTTCTTTTAAATCCTGTACTGGCCAGTAATCCTTTGTGCCAGGTTTTAAAACAGGTAGCAGAGGGGTGTTCCAGGGTGACGTACAGGTGGTGAGGATTCCTCCTTCCAGGAGTCTCGTTATGTGTGGAGTGATTCCCCACCTGGCTTCCTGACTTATTGGGTATTGCTGTACCTGGACCAGAGCTGCTGTCACCAACGGTTGGACCACAACTGGGGTATGGTGTTTTGCCAGACCTGGGGGATTTGTCTCAGCCCACTCTCCAGGTACACTCTCCTGGAATTGGCGGAGGAAGTCTGACTTGTTTCCAGTGATAAAGCTTCCTGTGCCGGGCGCGGTGGCTCAAGCCTGTAATCCCAGCACTTCGGGAGACCAAGGTGGGTGGATCACGAGGTCAAGAGATCGAGACCATCCTGGTCAATATGGTGAAACCCCTTCACTACTAAAAATACAAAAAATTAGCTGGGCATGGTGGCGTGTGCCTGTAATCCCAGCTACTCAGGAGGCTGAAGCAGGACAATTGCCTGAACCCAGGAGGCGGAGGTTGTGGTGTG